CCCTTCTGTGAAGACTCCGTTCCCGGCTCATGCGAAGTGGTATCAACTTCTCCCTTCTGTGAAGACTCCGTTCCCGGCTCATGCGAAGTGGTATCCACTTCTCCCTTCTGTGAAGACTCCGTTCCCGGCTCATGCGAAGTGGTAGCCACTTCTCCCTTCTGTGAAGACTGCCTTCTCGGTTTGCCTAACTTACCCTTAGAAACGGCATCTTTATAATCGAAAGCCCTCTCCGCAAAGAGCGCGCACCACTTTTTCTCGATTCCTTCTATGGTATTTGTCCACACGTTCAGAAAGTTCGTTAAAGAGTAAACAAAAGAAATTGTCACGACGGTTTGTGCATTCATATTAAAATCATAAATATTATTATAATAATCATCAATTTCTTCAAAATCGTTGGATATATCATCTAAGCATTCATTCCATAAAGCCATTTTCTCTTCCTTTGGTATCCCACACTGCAGGGAGAGGTCGTGTAGTTCCCCAAATAAATTATCCAGCGCTCTGTCACAATCCGACTTTTGTATACGATGACATTCGTCCAATAAAAGCTTTACTTTTTCTTTCGGCACGACAAACATATGTTCTTTTAATATGGCTGATACATCTATTCCTCCCTCTTCTTCTTCCTCCTCCTCATCCTCATCTTCGTCATCATCATCATCTTCTTCATCACTGCTGTCGTCTTCTTCGTCTTCCTCATCACTGCTGTCGTCTTCTTCGTCTTCCTCATCATCTTCTTCATCGTCCTGTTGCCTTTTCATTTGCTGTTGTTTTTTTATTGAACTGGAAGTTGCCTGACTGGAAGTTCCCGCATTGGCAACATCACTTCGTTTTCCTTCACCCCAATCATTGTCATGACCGGTGCTGTTCAGATCCTTTGGGCTTGCATGTGCATCTGAGTCTGATGTGAATTGGGACAATTGTCTCAGGGCCTTGGGTCCGGCACCTCCTAGAGATACTGCACTTTCGCTTGGGAGATCACCATTCTGCGAAGAAAATACCCAGAGAGGTAAAGATGAGAAAAAGAAAAAAAAGGAGTGATGTGTCTGGACAGTTAGTCTACGTACATTGTGTGGAGAAAAAGAGACGAGGTTTTCCCTCTTATATGCGTCACCTGAAAATGGCTCTTTTTTGATTCTCTTTTTTCTCTTGTCCTTTTTTTCTTCTCCTCTTTTTTCTTCTCCTCTTTTTTCTTCTCCTCTTTTTCTTTTCTTTTTCTTTTTCTTTTTCTTTTTCTTCTCTTTTTTTTCTCTTTTTTCACTTCTCCTTACCAGCAGCACGACGTTCATCAGAGTGAACACAGAGAAGACTACCCGGGACGCGGTTAACATCTTTATTCAGTTCAGTTGCCTCGGAAGTTTAACAGGGGTGGGGGGTTAAAAGTATTAGGCTAACACAGCTTATGTTTGTTTATCTCTTTTAGAACAAAAAAAAGATATATCAGCTAAGTATTATTTCTGAGAGATAAAAAAAAAAAAAAATTGATAATCCAAAGGGTTAAAAGGAAAAAAAAAAAATCCTATAAATTCGCGTCCCATGACAGGTAAAGCAAAAATTATTCGAGGCCAAGTTTGTAATTCAAATAAAAGGGTAGAAAAAATAGAAAAGAAAAAAAAAAAAAAAGCATTTAAAAATTACATTTTTTTTCTTTTTAATAGAAAAAAAAACACAATTATAAATAGTTAAAATACATAAAGGAGAAGATAAGAGAACATACAAAAATGTTTTTTTTTTATTATTTTTATTTTTTTTGACAAATTAGAGTAACCAACGGAAAACAGTACAAGCTGTTCTCGTCACTCCATTGTAGCAATGAAATACGGCCAGAGGATACAGAAACTTGCCACTGCACAGCTAGCCAAAGGTCATATATCTGCTACATACAGATCTCTGGGTGTTGGATATGCGCGCTTACTACAACTATTCATTTTCCTTGTACAAGTGATTGATTTAGGGTAGTGGCAAAATCGGAGTCTCTATGCATATATATTTGCTCGCTGGAGCGGAATAATCTAAGAAAAAATTAGGAAGATCCAATAGAGCAATAACTACAAGAGAGGGCCATTAGTTCCACCGTGAGTCTCCACTTGGCAGTTTTTTTTCAAAGGGGTTGTGTTAAATTAGTTTTTCCCCCCACGCATGCAGGAGGGTAGTAAATCGTTTCCTCACGAAAGGTGGCGAACGCGCGGCAGGGCAGGAAAAATTGTATGCACGAATATTTAGCAGACATAAATATTTGTACTCGTTCCTTTCCCGAGCCACACCTTTTATCGAAGCCGTATCATCATTGTACATAAGCGTGTTCAGAGGGAAAGGAAAACGTTCAATCAAAATCGGATTTTTCTGCTTCCCATGCGGATACGTATTACGTGAAATGATGCAACTTCTCTGGTGCACACATTCGTTCTTTGTGAAGGGCTCTACACGCTAACATCAAATTGTTGCGGTGCGTTAGTACAGTTACTTTGTTCATTTGGAGTCGATACGATTGATATCCCATCGGCGCTTAACTCCTAAGCTGCATAGTCCCCTAGTTTGGGAGAGTGTCCCAATGCGTCTTTAACCCTCAGAAGGAGTGACCCCCTTTCGGGTTCATCATTATGATTCAAATGTGAGATTCTCTTATTAAAAAAAAAAAAAAAAAAATTACCTAGACTGAAATGACACTGTTGGGACGCACAAAAAAAGGAAGGGCACAAAATATAACGCGCGTAACAGCTGTGAATGTGCTCCTAATCCATTACCCATATTATTCAATCAGGACAAAAAAAAAAAAAAAAAAGAAAAGAAATTTTACCAATCTAGGGGAACGCCAAATGGGCTCGGACTTTCTTTCTCCACTATGCTATTTTTGTATACCTATGGAAGGAACTCTTTTCCTTTTTTCTTCCTTTTCTGCTGTTTCATTTTGACACCTCAGCTACGCTTGCATAGACGAAAAAGTAAGTTTCCCGCTCTGGGAGTTACGTCAACACATTGGTGCGCGCACAACGTAGGGGGAAAATTCCGATCAGTTTTCGTCTATATTCAGTCTGTTCACCTGCTCACAGGATCGAGCGATTATGTGTTCACTTGTTCGCTACTTTGTGGGATCTTTGCCCCCCACTTCTGCACCCTTCTGCCGCCGGCGAAAAAATTTCGTTCGACTTCTTCCCATTTGCAACAATCGCGTTTGCGCTTAGAGTGGCGTATCTGTTTAAACAATCAGAGAAAAAGGCGTCGTGACAACGGAGAAGTTCAATTTGGAAGCACCCTGTTTATCGTAATAGTGTTTTATTTCTCGAATTTCTTTATTTATCTCTTTTTCACACGTTGTGCATAATTTCGATTTCTCCTCCTGAGACATTCCACACTTGGAAGCTAACTCCTCCAGGTTGTCCAATAATCTGTGCAGTAGATTGTTCTCGAGACATTTTTAAACCATTTTAAAATGTAAAAGCAATTCTTCCATATCTTTTTCTGGGCACTAATAATGCGTGGTGCCTTAGCATTCCAGAGATGTCGTCCCTTTATTCTTCTTCTTCAGCCGACATAGCTTTGCTCTTCTCTGTGCAGGGGGCATTAGCATCCGTCTATTTGTCTTCTTCCCTATCGCTCGGTGTGTTACTTAGTGGGTTGAGGAACTCATTTGGATTAAGTTCCATTTCGGTCATCTGTCTTCGGGTGGCACTTACAGCGGGCGATAACCAGGAAGTATCGCTCGAAAGGTTGGCATTGTTCTGCGAGCTGGTTGTTGCCCACTTGGAGGGGAAAAAAAAAGGCAATTTTAGCAGGCGGACAAAGAGTCTTTTAACTTTCTATTTCTATTCCTATTTTTATTCCTATTTCTATCCATATTTCTATCCCTATTTCTATCTATTTTCCTAACGCATCACTTGGGAAGGCTTCCTCTTACCAATACCAAAATTGCAGCAGGACAAACAAAGAGAACGCCACTCGCCGTACATCCAATATTCCGTTTTTAGCCACTCTGGATTCTCCAAAAGGGGGGGGCGAGGCGATTAAAAGGAAACCGAAAGGTTGGACCAGATGGTGAAGCAAAATGAGGAGAACTTTCAACAAAAAAATGCCTATCTAAATAAGTTTAAAAAAAATATAATTGCCTTAATGGAGCACAAAAAAGAAAAAACTACATATATGTATTTCTACTGCATAGAAAGGGATTAGCGACATGCTTTACTTTTCCTGTGGGGGATAAAATTTGTTAAAACCATATGCGTCGTATGTAAAATGGAACCAGAAAAAAAAAAAAGCATCGGAAACCAAATTGGAAAATTGGCACAGAACAATTCGTCGCAACTGTCTTCATTAGGGAGCAATACAACTAGCCCGACTGAAAACTTGCGAACTCCAATTCATCCATTTCGATGCGCAATTATTGCTTTATCTTACATATGGAGCACAGGCGGTGAGAGTCTATAAAAGGTGGGGCATCATATAGCCTTACTCTCCTATGCCATATTTTTTGTTATTAAAATATTTGGAAGGTCCGCTAAAACGATAATTTAGAAAATGGAAATAGCGACTAATTCTTTGTAATACCAATTGAATGTTCCTTTTTTTTTTATTTTTATTTTATTCTTTATTTTCTAATTTCTTTTCCCAATCACACAGTTATGATTTCGCCGAACCCTCGGCATGTGAAGAAATAATTATGTCACATTTTATCTGATGGGACATCTAAGGTGGCATTATGCGTCTCTCACAATGGAATCTCGTAAAATGACATTTCTTTTAAAATAAAACATCTCGAAAAAGTTCTATTCTGGAAAATTTTTCACAAAAGGAGGATCCCTATTAAGGTATTAATTCATTGCATATTTTTAGCTTCTTACCCATTTATGCTTTCTGTCTTTTTTTTCTTCTTTTTTTTTGTTTTTGTTTTTTCTTTTTTTCTTTTGTTTTTCTAGAAAAAGCGGGTTTTTTAAAGACAAATACATTGTCCTCGAATTTACAAATTTGTAGCACCGTGTTTATAAAAGGTGTTTATTAAAAAATTCCAACACACATCTCTATTCATGAATTGAACATAGCGAGGATATACAGTTCGAAAAGATTTCCCCTGCTGGTCGGTTTCACCACTCTACTGTTTGTTCTGTGGATCGGAATTTTATCGGTAAGGGAATATGTTTATTTAAAAATTATGTAAAAAGCTTTTTTTTTTCTTCACGGCCTCAACGTGTCTTCGTCCGTCTAACAAGCAGTAGTTGTGAGGCAGTACGAACCAGCTTTAATTAATTAACTTCATCGAAGGGGTGCACACATATATACATATATACACATATATATGTATATATGCATATATACACATACCCATTTCACCTTTTCTATAGATTCATAATTGCAATTATGAAGACAACCTGTTGGAAGACTTACGGATAGGATGCAACCGTAGAAGCCTCTCTGTAGCTTCTTACCATTATTATGGTGCCTCTACATAAGCAAATGAAGCTGACTATCCCGATAATAGTAATTTTTTTTATACAAACAAATATAAAGAATTTTTATCGAGTTTGAAGTATATGCACTTAGGTAAGAAAGTATTAACACTGAAAGAAATAAATAAGCTACTGTATTCCCTCGACTTGTATGTAAGTCAGAGAAAGGCAAGGTTGATCTTTTATCACTACAATAACTATTTGAAAAAATTGTATAATGATACGATGGAAAAACTGTGGGTATAATTTTCCACATCAGCAACGCGAAAAGGAATGCCACTATGTACTCAATTAGAAGTTTGGGAGAAATGTGAGGATGAAATAACTGATAACTTTATAGCAGAAGACGAATTTTTCTTAGAGCAATTTCAAACATTTATATCTGAAGGAAAGATAATAAACCCATGTTTTTTAAAATTCTTGGATAAATACGGCAGGTGATGGAAAGAGGATTTAAAAGATTATAAAGAGAAATGGTCCAGTATTCTAAGAGAGAATGCACAGTATTATCAAATGTGGTAAAATAAGGAAAGATAGTTTAAAAATATGGTCTCGCAGTATTTCCTACTTTCAAGAGCACCAGGAATGGAGAATATTTCAGCCCTTTTTTTTCTTTTTTTTTTTCGTTGTTGTTTTCCCTAATTAAACGTTAAACGAAATGGAGTTTGTCCATGTTTAGTAATCGAAGTGGTATAAGTAAAGGAAAAAATATATTCATTGATGCATTGCAAGGAATGCTTCCTTTACTGCTTTTGTTCAATTTCGTTATTTTTTTTTTTTTTTACGAATTAATCTAAGGTTGCGATGCAAACACAACAGTGCATCTGTAGCTTCGCTTGCGCAGTTCGTCTCCACCTCGTTTGTCTGTGCATCTGTCTATTCGTGTTTGAGCCATTTGTCCAATCCACTAATCGTTTATGAATTGCTCACCTATTCGTTTTTGAGCCATTTGTCCAATCGATTAATCTTTTATGGGATATTGACCCATCCGTTCACTTATTTCACTTTTCAGTGCTTTTTTCTGTAATCCCCCCAGGGATGCTATAAGAAACGTACATCCCATCTCTGCGAACCATCTTATGAAACACGTAGTAAAAATTTTTGAGAAAGGAAAGAGAAACCACGTTGAAGTGAAATTCTGTCATTTCTACGCAGACATGATATGCCATCTGGTCGTGGGAAAAGTGCAGTATCTGTCTTTCTCCCCTTTTTGTGAATGCGCATCTACATGTGCATGTGAGCCTTTGAATCGTTGTCCGGAGGAAGAAGCTGCTACATAAAGGGATTCCCTAACTGTAGTGCTCCTTCCAACCTGATAATCAGTTCTATCACATGAAGGATAAAGAAAGAAACACTCCCTCTCACGTGGTGGGTCGGTCTTTCCGACGAGCATGGCAGGAAAGCATTTTCTCTTAAGATGTCTTCGAGACGTTCTTGAAAAATGGTGAAAGTCTATAGGCGCGCATTTTAATAAATATATAAACGAAATTACAAATAAAACATAACGAATTAAAAAAAAAAAAAAAAGAATACCACTACGGTATTTCTTAGAAGCCAACTTATAGTTACAGTAAGGAGGGATTTCTTAACTTAGCAACGAATATGCTCATGATAGTGTGGCATATATATTTACTACACAAAAAAGAAGAATGTCTTCCGACCGGTAAAGTTTTCGTAGATCATACAAAAGGAGGAATTAACCTCTGGTGTGGTTGGGTTCCTACGTTTTATTTTACGCTCATTCTGAAAAAATTTTAATACTTCCTTTTCGGATGAAACAAACAAACACTTCATACGTCACAGTAATATTATTTATTGTGAATTTTTTTTCTCTTTTACTAAATATGGACTAAATAGAGAACAACACTAGACTATGTTTAATGAATCATTTAGGCATTCCCTTTAGTTTGATTTTAAACAGCTTATATGCTATAAATAAAAATAAAAGAAAAGTAAAAAAAAAGTCGCAATCTATTACAATAACAGATGAAGAAATATATTATTGTTTAACTTTATTACTACAACGTGACCCATACAACAAGATATTTCCTCATGGCACTTAGGGCTTTTTCGGTGAACGCAGAAGTTGTTATCAGACGGTTTGGGGGACATTGTATTCTACATTTCTCATTGTTCGAAGTGAATAGAATGACGAGAACTAAGCCCTCAGTTCAGAAAACACACTTTGGTTTTCACAATATTGTAATATAAATTTTCTTTTCTTTTTCTTTTCTGTTGTTTTTTTATCCTTCAATATCCTGTTATCACTAAGAAAACACATGCACTTAAAGCATTAAAAAGATTTCGCGAGTATTTTTTCTTTCTCATTTTTTTGATCGCATTAAGAAAATTAAAATCTGAGCAATATTGTAAATAAGAACACCTTTTATCTAATTCATATTGTGATTAATCTCATGGCCCTTTTCTTTTAGAACACTGTTTGTAGTTCCAAGTGGGGAAATCACATCGTGGCTAGAAATCTTCACATAAAGTAGAAAAAGAAATGGTTGCAGAAACCTTGCAGAGGTTTCCGGAGAATTGAAAATTGCCTTTCTTTTTTTTTTTTTTGCAACATCCTTTACAATAACGAATCTGTTAAGTACCCCCCTCAATGTCGAATACAGGATGTATTTAAACATAATGTTAAGGTTTATTTCAAAGAATTTACTTTAGATCCTGAGATATATTTGACTTCAACCGGAAGTCTGATATTCGAAAATAAACAAAAAGACGCCATTGAATATTATTATTACATTAAACAACAGAAAAAGAAATAGAATAATTTAGTAGAAGCATTATCGGAGGCCTTCCTTGTTGCAACAAAAGCGGATGGAATCAATGATGAAGATCGAATGAAAATATTTAGCAGCTGCTATCCTTCAATTTCAAAGGATTCATTGGATCTGGAACAATATTGGGAAACACGTTTTCTTGCATTGTTTGAGAGAAAAAGAATATGGCATTTTCAATTTGAACGTTTTTTATCGGAATGCAGTGATTCATGGAATGAATTGATAAAAAAAAATAAAGAAAAGTGGAATCAAATTCTTATAGACAAACTAAGAAAATATAACATGGAAAAAAAATAAAATAAAAAAAACAGCTAAGTATGAAGAAAAACC